TTTGCTGGCCGCTTGGACCAATTTCCAATGTTGACGAACTTGGTCTGCTGGGATTTGACCCGAGGTCAGCTTGTGGCGGCGTTGCTTGAGTTGCTTGCTCTCCTGAAATTTGGCTTTGGGGTAGGCTTCTGTGATGTTGCTTGCTAACGCTACGCGGCTGTCCCATGGGTGTGGTTTGGCTGGGGGGTTTGGCAGCTTGGCTCCCAACATCTTCAGCTTTCTTGGGTGGTGTGCAAATGTGTTGGCTTTTTTGTCCTGGTTGCCTCTGCGGGTGAGCTGTGATAGACTGCGTCATGGTCACTGAGGGCATACTCTCTGGACCCTGGTATGGGGGCTGTATGCTGTAGGACTTTTCGTGATGTGCTGATGTAGTCAAGGCGTCGAGGCCGCAGCTGTGTGTTGTATGGGTGGTAGGACGGGGCGTCGTCTTGTTGAGGTGGCATGTGCTGATTTTGTTGTGACAACCAGTCCAATATGACCTCTCCCCTGGCTGTGGTTGCTGTCTGGCTTGTCGTGATGAATGTCTCATTCCAATCTGCCCCGATGATGCAGGGGTGGTGCTGCAGCTGCGGGTGTTCTGTTTGCCAGGCTTGCAAGATTTGATGGGTCTGGTCTAGTGTTGCGTGATGTGGAAGGTGTGCTGAGATGACATGCAGCTTGCCTCCTGTGGTTGTGTGGAGGGTTGCTCCTACGCTGGCTGTGCTTGTGGTGGGTGTGTCAACATGTGTGATGCTGGATGCGTGGAAGGCGATGCCTGTACCCCTCCACTCTGATGGTCCCTTTTGGGCCAGGACCGTCCACTTGTACTCTCTGCAACAGTGCAGGCCGTCCCCTTCGGGCGAGACCTCCTGAAGGAACCAAACTGTTGGCTTGCCCAGTTGAGGGTGGTTGCCTAATTCATGGAGCATCTGAGGAATGTCTTTTAAAGCTTTCCCTCCGAGGTTCCACCTAGCTATGTGATAGTGAAACTTTCCTGTTGCTGGCGCGGGTGGCTTCCTCATGTAGTCTCACTGCTGTAGTAGTGGGTCTACGAGGACATTCCATGCTGCCAGGACGGTTTCCTTGCTCTTGTGGGTGAACCCGCTGATTGCCTCGGCGTCGATCCAACCTAGTGCGCACTTGGAGGTGTTGTGGCCCTGCGGCGAAGGTGCCGTTGCACTGGCTATGCGTCGCCCCTGGTACCATAACGTTCCAGTTGCACACTCCACCTGCAAGTTGTCTTTGTTTCCCCCTTGCTCGAGCACCAACCTTTTCACTTTGCCAGCGTATCTTGCTCTCCTTCTTCTCTCTGGTGTTTGTGAGTAGGCCATCCACAGTCGCTTCACGCCTTCGGACTCTGCTCTGCGGGCGGGGTATGGAACGACCAAGTATCCCCTTCTGACCCCCGGTACAAAGGCTTCATCCATGTCCACATCTAGTTGCAGGGAGGTGATGGCATCCTTTGCTAGTTGGAGGGTCACTGCGGCGTCCTGGTCGTCTGCCCAGCCTCCCATGATCAGGGCTGGTTGCCTCTCTTCCGCCGTGGTGCTGGAATTTGCCCTGGTCTGCAGCACAGGTGGTGTTGCCTCTAACTTGGTGAGGCAGTCTTGTATTGCTGTGATGGTAGCTTGGGTGTACTTGTCTTGCTTCTGGAGTGCAACCAAGTCTGCCGAGTGCTGGGCCTGCGTGTGTGTGATTGCTGTGAGTAGGTTTACTTGTTCTTTCATGCGCTCCGCGAAGGCGTTCTCAACCTGTCCCACTCTGGTATCAATGTTGCCAACCCTGTTGTCGATGTTGTTGATCTGCGTGATGAGGGGCTGGATTGTTGACTGAAAGACTTCGAGGGTGAGCGGTGTTCCCACTGTCGTTGAGGTAGGGCTTGGGCACGGTCTTTTGTTCTCAGGGCTGTTGTCTAGTTCCACGTCTATTGCTGCCGGGGTTGGTGTTGCCCCCTGTTTGTCTCTCGCCACCATGGCGTGGATTGTGAGGATGGAGTCGCTGCCAGAGTCACGATCTTGTGGTAGGCGAGCTGATTCTCCCAGCCAGGTTGATGTGGAGAAACTGGGTGAAGATGTAGCCGAGGTGCTAGTGGTAGGGCAGTCGTGCAGCAACTGATGCAGTTGTGGACCGCTCAGGTACTGGATGGTTTCCCGAACGTGGAAGATGTACTCACGTAGTGTGCCAAACTTGCCCTTGTGCTCTATTGCTCAACTAACAGGCAGGAGAGAATTTGCGCACCTCTACAGCCCGTCCTCGCACTGTCAGGGGGAGAGAGTTGCCTAAGCAGGGCTCACAAAGTGTGGAGGAGGGCTTGAAGTGGTAGTGTCTTGAGCCAAAATGGCTACTCTCTCTCTCTCTCTCTCTGTCAGTGGCTCCATCTGTCTGTGCGTCTCATCAGTCCGTGAGTCTGCCTGCCTGCCTGTCTTTGCGTCGGTCTGTATGCCTGCTGTCTGTGTGTCTGCTTGCTCCTTCTCGCACGTGGACGCTGACATACGCTGACAAACGTAAACCTGCCTGGCAACTGCCTGGCTCGCTCGCGTTGCGGAAGCTGAGATAACATGGCTACGGAGGCTACAGTCGCACTTCGTCACTTTTTGGGATGCTCCATGACCAACAGCCGAAACTACAATACAACTAGTTTGGGCTCAAGAGTACTGGGTAGATCCTTGGTTTTGCGCGTTGCTAACCTTGAGGCGGAATGAGAAACGTGTTCAGCTGCATTACAGCTCGTAAGGGCTGGTTGCGACGATCACAGACAGTCACGCGAGCTACGGGACGAATGCACGCTACGCATCCATACGCAATGTTCCGTGAAGTCAAAGCTCTCTCCTTGTCAGTTCTTGTAAGTCGCACTCTGAGAACTCCTCGGAAGAATCCATGGGCGGTCCAGGGATATTGAAGTTCCGACTGGACGTACCGCAGCATGCATCAGACTGCACTGTTCGCTGCCCCCCCTGAGTGGCTTGCAGACCCCGGGGGGGCGGTGCCATGGCGTGCCGAACTACACCCGCAGCCCACGCGTCCCAGGTCACACACACCCACGCGCTGCCCACCCGCCTCTCTTCCCCTCCTTCTCCTCCTTCTATTCCTTCTTCTTCTAAAGGCTTTGCGCTCCTGTGGCCTAGTCTTGTGATCCTGACCGTTTGTGCCAGCATCCCAGAGCCACCTTGGGTCGATGTTGAGACGCTGCAGTGCTTCGCAGAGGCGGCCTGAAGCAACGCACCACAAGCTGGGCTGACGCGACTCTCCAGAGCCATGCAAGATATTTCATAATATTTCATATCATTTCATGGCGAGCTTGGAGCCTGGATCTCCGATGTCACCCTCAACAAGCTGATGCGGCACGCTCCTAACAACTTGGGACACCCCGATACTGTACCGTGCAGATCAGGGTCAGAAAGGACTGGGACACTGAGCATTGCTCCCCGAAACCTTTGCATTTCATGCGCTCCTTGCCCGCAGTGTGGTCGCTGCTGCGGCACGCGCGTTTGCACTCCTCAGCAGGAAGGTTCAACAATGCGTCTGGAAGCGGTGTCGTTTGGTAAGCCTTCCCATACTTTCAACGGCGCCATCAGCAGTGCGACATGGAATGGGTTGGCAGCTGCGCCCCAGCGCTCTACACTTTTGTCTGTGTGGTAAGCGGGATTGTGTTCAAGGGTTCAAGGGTGATTTAGCCTAAGCGCCAATCTGCAACCATCATCTGTTGTCCAACATGCGCTGTACTGCTAGAATGTCCGCAAAGTCATTGGCTGATCTGCGACAGTCAAGCAGCAGGTCGATACCAATCATGGTCAATGGGAAATCCTGCAAGACCCGCCCGCGGGGAGTGTGCCTGAGTTGCGGTGCTCTATTTCTGCAGAGTGGAATGCTTGCTCAAGAGTGCATTTGTCCTTCGAGGTTTAATGGAAATCTCTGGCAGTGACTCGCATTTCGTGCCTTTGAAATGCCTGCAACTTGCAACCCAACTTTTTCCGGGCAAGGCTCTCGGCCACAAACTCATAGATCTGAGCTAGAAGGCTTCCATCTCCACATCCTGCAGCACAATCAGCACATACAGTCATGTTCCAGGGGCGGGACTCACTGGCAGACCACCTAGCATTAACTGCCCTATTTCCTGCACTCTCGACCACAATTGCTTGTTCAAGTCGGAGCTGCAAGGCCGGATGAAGCGGACCCCGGCCAAATCTTCAAGTGAGGGAGCGTTTTGTGTGACGAGGACTTTGGGTTTCCATTGTTCAGCTTTTGCATGGAGCATATGGGATAGGGACAATGATAATGCACTTGATAGAGCTGGGTGAAACAGAAACTGATGTTGAATGTGCACAGAATGCACTACATGTGCACTACGATATGACACCCACTTGGCACGACCACCTGGAATGAATACCTTGCAGGAGCATCTTGCACTCGCGTCTTCCACAGAAAAGGAAAGGCAAGAGCACCTAAGAAAATCAACGAGAAAGGTCCTGAGATGTCCTGAGCCCAACAGCAGGTGCACACGAAAATGCCCATGACATCATCAATGCTACCCCGGGACCCCATGTACTTGACATTCTTCAAACGCTGCAGTGTCTTCCCGAAAGTTGTGGGCCCATGTTGTCGTTGTCCTGTGTCAGCAATGTAGCGCGGCTGCAGAGCGAAGTCGCTCTTGAAGAGCGGCCGGATCAACTCGAGAAAATCACGGAAGAAGACCTCCAGAAAACGTAGGCCAATTCCCAGAAACAGGGCAACAGTTTTATCTAAGTCCGTGCCCCTCCTTGTGTTGCAAGCCGCTGCCCATCACGTTCAGCGTGCGATCCACATGAACCTCCAATCGGCTGTCGGCCGTGCGTCTGCCAGGCTTACTAAGGTCTTTGCACCTCGGCTTGGGGCTCGCCAAAGCCCCAAGCGGCATCCTGAAGCGACTGAGGAAACTTGCATGGCTAAAGCTTTCCGCACCTGCACTCTTCTTGAAAACCCCATGTCTTCCGATCCCCTTTTTGCGCAAGCTATGAAACGGAATCTACCAGTCCGCGCCAGTCTCAGTAATTTCGAATTGCACGGTCCACATTGGCCTTGCAAATCGGGCAGTCCGTGCATCTCCTCAGCCACTCATCAACGCATGACTGGTGGAACACATGGCCACAAGGAAGACGTCGGCAGGGAACGGCAAGCTCGAAGTCCTCAAGGCAGACCATGCAGGTCCGTTGCTGCGATGCTTGGGCATTGGGAGGTGGCCAGTTGAAGGTTTCGATCTCTTGGATGGTTTGGGGGAAGAGGCCACGCCTTTGGTTTAGCATCTCTTCGAGCTCTCGCGTGGTGCGCTCTGAGCTGAGGAGGAGCATCTGGAGCCCTTGGGGGAGCTGCGCAACCTGATTCATCAAATGGGGAGGCAACAAATTCCGCAAAGTCGGGGTCAGGTGACCCTGGCAGAAAATGGTCGTGCTCTTTCCAATACGGGCAACTACATCCGGCTCACAAGCCACCACCTTGAATTGGACGCCCTGGTAGGAGAACAGTTCACCATGCTGGTACTTCTTGTGCTGATTCGCCATCAGGTAAGGCTTCAAGTAGTCTCCAAACAGCTCGTACTGGTACGCGCTTGGCAAAGTGTCCAAGAAGGGGAGGATGTGCACTTTCTCGAACTCCGGGGTAGTATCCCAATTAGCGAAGATTTCGGTATCGGTGGATACCATGCCTAGTCCTTGAGGTTCCGTCGCTTCGACTTGCAGGCTGACATCGCCCACCTGAACAACCTGTCCCGCGTAAAGAAGTCTCACTCTCTTCACGCCAGTCGTGCCATAGGGCGAGTACTCACCTTTGAAGAACGGCCTGACATACTGGTTGAAGAGCTCCTCTGAGCTCAGAGCTGTGGGACCCCAGGCACTGAACTGGATCTTCTGAAAGCCTTGCACATGTGAACAATTAAGGGAAATCTTTCTTTGAAATTCTTTCAAAAAAGGCCAAGCGTGCTCTCGACTTGATGGAGCCAGGAAGCAGATGACCGGCGCGCCATCGACGAAGAAATCCGTCTCCATCCCCAAACAACCCTGAGGTGGCTCACACTTGATGACCACGAATTCGGCCTCTCTCGCCTCAAGTCACAGTAGATAAGCTTTTAACTTCGCTGTCCCAATTCTTGCCAAAGCCACCTTCACCAGGTGTCCAGAGCACACAACTGCCTTCGTACTTCGTAGCTGGCGCAAGGTTTCTGCCAGAAACTCCATTCGCTGGCGTCCTTGACGGATCACTACACCGAACACAACGCAACACAAACACATCACAAGCTTTTCCCAACGTCTGATGCTGAAGATTGTTGAAGGCTGACCCGCCTTTCATTTTCTTGTCCGCCTCTTTGAGGGGCAAGATGTGAAGCTTTCTGAGGACAACCTGAAAGCTTCACATGTTGGCATTTGCAAGAAATGGACAAACACCCACCTCATCTTCGTTGGCTTGGGCAGGCTGGGTTGAGGAGCTGGCTTGCCTGACCGCAAACTGGGCCTGGTTCGTCTAAATTGCTCAATTCGTAACATGTCCATGGTGGAGCCAGCTGAGCCTCTCCCCATCATCATCTGCACCCATGGCTCCCAACGGTCGTTGGCTTTAAAGAGGTAGCTTGAGCAAAAAAGGCAAAGTCCTAATTCCATGTGTCTTGCTTGGGTCAGCTGCCATGATATTTACTCCCTGGCCAGCTGACATGATCAATTCACTAGCATGGGAACCGACTTCTTTTGCAATCCCTGAACAGCATTCCCATCCCAAGACAGGCGCCTCGAAAAGGATCTGGCGGATGTTTGCCAACCTGCACGACCAGGCAGCTTGCTCAATCAGAAGTGCAGACAGTCTGACTGCGCCGTGGTTCTTTGACTTCGCTGCCTGCAAGCATCCCCCTCTTTCCGGTCAGTTGCGACCATGTGGCTACAGCTCGAAAGCCAAAATGCTCAACCACTTGCGTAAGAACTGCTCTGTGACCAGCTCTTCCAGGCCAATTGGATCCTACTCGCCATATCTCGCTATGATCTGTCCCAACTGGACCTTCTCTTGTGCGGCTTGGGCACATCGGCGCATACGACGTCGCGACCAAGAACGTGTAAGTACCTGAAAAGTTCACTGCACCAGCTGGCCCCGCCATCACAAGGAAAAGCTGACATGAGCCAAGGTTCGCTGAAGTGCCAAGGCTCCCGATTCAGTGATGCGCACAGAGCCTAATGGCCAAGGAGGAGGGATTGGTGGCATGATACCCCAGTGTAAGCTTTGAAGCCTGTCACCAAGTTGTACCCAGTCCACGCAGAAACCTGTGCTACGTACTTTACTTGTACACTGAAATGGTAGTACCATACGCCCAGGCCAGTTCTTACGCCCAGCCTCGCTCGTCACAGCAGCCCACCCCAAGGTGCTGCAGAAGCCTGTCCTGGCTGTCTGACATGAACGCCGATTTAGAACATCCCAAAACCGCGTCTGCCAGCGTGGCCAGCGTTGCGGGCGTTGTGGCGAGCGGCTAGAGTGTTGATCCACTTCGGCTCCACTGCGATGGACTTGTCTCCACACAAAGGAGCACCTAAGGGAGTTAATAGGGTCTGCCAGGAAGTGTGGGCAGCACAGACTTCAAAGCTCTCCCATAGCAGACTTGAATGGATTCGTGGTACTCGTTGCGCTCTGTGTCTGGCTTGCCCAGCCTTCACTGCGAAGCGCCAATACCAGCGACCTCAGAGCTGTGTTCCCAAAGCGCTCTTCATGCAGACGACCGAATGGAGACGGCCAAAGGTAAGACGCGCTGTGCCAAGCTACGTCAAAAGCGGCGTCAGGATGGCACCATCCAGCAGCTGCAAGGAGGTTGCGGAGGCCTTGAGGGTCGCAATGTCTTGAGGTTTTACGGGGTTGGGAGCTGCTGGAACTTCTCAGGCAGATCTTTTGCAACGCCGGCCTTGGTCTGCTGCCACGGTCGATTCTCCCATGCCTGCAGTGCGGTGCAGCATGAGTCAAGACATCGTGGCTGCCAGTGGCCTGACCCTCTTGAGGCCGGCTGCAAATGCGCCAAAGGAATTGACTGAAACAAGGCCTTGAAGCAAGCGTGCGCTCCAGGCGAGTCCAGCGCAAAGGGTGGCCAGGCCTTCTGCAGGTCAAGATTCATCGCATAGTAGAAGTGTTATGACAGTCGTGGCAATCGCAAAAGTGGTTACAAATTTGGTCGTTTCACCTGCCATATAATTACGTTGGGCGAAGATAGGAATCCACACTATCCTGGGGACAAGCTTCAGCATTAACAGGCTCATCCTCTGATGGCCAGCAACAAACTATGCACCAGAATCGAAGTCACGTTGTCATTATTTGCATCAGGATGCCCGCCTTTTGGTAGAGCTCGCGCAACAAGCAATCCGAGGAGCCTTTCGTGACTAGCAGCTCCACCATTTCCTCACAAACATCAAGAGAGGATCTGTGTAATGTTGCAATAGAATTTTTAAAGGGGAGTAGCAATAAAATATTGTCACCCAGCCAGAAAAATGCCGGAAGACTAAATTTATTTGTAACAAGTTGTGATCCCCACAAGGTGTTAACAAGGTCCATGGGCAATAATAAGGGGGTGACAATACTAATGTTGTTCGCCGCGAAATACCCCAATCTTGATAGAGGTCATTTTGCTTGTACCACTAGTAAGACTTGTACGCGCTGCCCTACCAGGTTCTACCCCCACCCCCTGGTTTATTATTGCGCCCCCCCAA